AGTCATAGGAAGGCTTATCTAGAAAAGAGATAGAAGAGAAAGGACTAAGTAATTCTCTTTGTCCTTTGGGTCTCACCTTGAATCTGCTTTGCGCATTTGCCATTAAGAACTTGTGATCCGGTCCTTCTGGGCCATCATGATGGAAACCCATGATTTTGTTCATCTCCTTCATTTTTGCTTCGATGCTGTTGTTTCTCGTCTGGCTCCTTTGTGTCCTCAAGGGGTAGGGGGGGGGGGGGGAGTTGGGCAGACTTTGGCTCGCTGTTGGTTCTTCCACTGATTCCGACTGCACCTTTGTATTGTTGGGGGGGGGGGGTAGAGTTCAGATGGTAAAGGAGGAAGGGACTCACAGACAGCCCCAGGCAGAGGCATAGGGATAGGGGGACCCGGGTTGGAGGAACTGTGGGAAGATGATTGGGCGATAAAGGGCTGAACCGAAGAAGAAGTGGGCTGCAGTAGTATGAGGGAAGGGGAGTAGGACGAGAAGAGGGCTTGTGGGTTAACCGAGGCAGGGTACTGAGGCAGGGGAGGGGACGAAAGGGATGAGGGGAAATAGGTTAGGAATTGATGTGTCTGAACAGAGGAGAGAGTAGCATATTGAGCAGGGTGAGAGGGAGGCCAAGTAAAATGGAGCGTATTAACCTTGGTAATTTGAACCAGGTGTGGGGTGTAGGAGAGATAAGGGGCCAGCATGGAAGAGATTGAGTCAAGATCCAAGGGGTATTGGTCTTAGGTTTGGGTAGTCACAATGCCTTGAGGGAGGAGGTTCTTGTCCATAGTGAGGAAAAGACGAAGGTCAGAGGACTCCTCTGGACTAAGTGAAGGAGTGAGGATATTCGTGAGGCAGAAAGAATGATAGGTAAGGGAAAGGAGTGGGTTAGAAGGGAGAGGTACCAAAGAGGAGGAAGATGGAAAGGCTGGCGAGCCTATAGGGGGAGGGGTTAAAAGAGGAGGGAGATCTGAGGAGGTAAGATCAGGACATGACCCTTCAACGGATGTGGTGGGACAGTGGACGGGGGTGCGAAAGTAGAGGGAGAGGGTGATGTAGCCACGTCGGCTAAGGAGGGGGAAGCCGAAGACGGTGCTGGTGACAGGTGGAGAGGGGAAGGCTGCACAGTCGACAAGTGTCAGTGATCAAGAGGGTGGGGTTCTTCGATTACTGGGGGAGTGAAAACAGGACGTGACACGTCCATGGAGTTAGGTGAAACGGATGGCAGGGAGGCAAGGGTAAAAAGGGGGGTGATGTGGCTACATCACCAGAGGGGGGAGTAGGCAGTGGCGGCGCAGGTGACACATGGCTTATGGTTGGTAGGGCGGGTGACACCTAGAGAGAGGTCGCAGCCGAGGGAGGCAGAGCTTGTGATAGGTGGGCAGGAGTTGATCGTTGAAGGGATGAAAGCGGTGAGGGGGACAGGAGGGTTGTGGAAGACGGCGCTGTCGCAGTGTCATCATGGGAAGTTGGTGTACGCATGAAAGCCTCAGACGACACCTAGCCCTGGGGTGCAGAGGGGAGCGACAGGGGTACAGAGGAGGATGGGTTGGTGGGGAAAATGTCAGGCCGGGGAGGAGGGCGGGAAGATGTTTGAACTAAGGAAGGGGGGGATTTTGAGAAAGACGGGCCCGGGTCCTTAATGGGGCCCGAAGACAGAGAGATGGGTGGTGAAGCACACTACGCCTCCTTTTCGAGTCGACGACAAAAGGTAGGTGAACCATCAGCAGGTGGGCCAAGGAAGGCAGGCTCGCTAAGAGTCGGGTCGGGAGTAAGCAGCGGTGCCGGAGGCGGAGGGAGCTGGGGGCCATGGTGGCGTACTTTTACCAATGGCCAGATCTGGAGGTCGGCGGCGTCTCCTACACTGACGAGCTTTCTTAGAAATCAGGGTCCATGAATCAGAGCAAGCGTCCAATGATTTAGCAGGGGCATCATAGTGGAGGAAATGGGGAGAAGGAGGGGAAGCCGGGGACCAGGAGATCGACACTGGAAAGTAAAGGTCGTCAACTTCAATCCATAATGCTTGGGGAATGCGTTTGGGGTCCAAAACTTCCACCAACACTCGTATAGAACTTAGTGGGAGGGTTTCAATCGAAATCCAATGAATTGAGATGAGAGACCCGCAAGCTGCCGCTAGACGTCGGAAAGTTTCAGGAGACCATGCTTGGAGTGGGATATGGTTAAGGTTAGCCACACCCTTTACTTCCTAATAGATCCCACTTTGGCTGACCAGGCCCGGAGGTGGCACTGAGCTCCATGGAAGGTGATAGTTTTGGTTTCGTGTAATGCCAGTTGGGCGCTCTTCGATGAGGGGAAGGTAAAGAGGATATCGCCACTTGCTAGGCATTTGCAGTTAAGGTTTGGTTCTCCCCAATGATTTTGAGCGGCCTTTTCAATCCCTCTAATATTATGGCGACTAGGTTGGAAGGTTCCGATCAGGGACGAGAGAAGCTTAGACTTGTTTTCACAATCTCTTCATGTGGGACGGGATGCAAAAAGGGGGGAAGGGAGATTGTTCGGCAAGACGAGGTGTACTTTGCGGTAGTGGAGCGGGGTTAGGAGAAATGATGGTGGCCGACTTGGTGGAGGCTAAATCCTAAGAGTAAGAAGCCCTGTGAGGAGATGGGGGTGGTGGGGTGGCCGCAGATTAATCCATCACGTGATGGTCACTGAGCTCATGTAATGAAGGGAGCTTGAGTCCTAGGTCTTATTGCCTTATTGCCTCGATCATAACCTTGAAAATGCCGAGGCTTACGGTATTGAAATGAATAATGGCCTAATAAAACCACTTATCGATGTACCTATATGCCTTATTCCTCTCTTCTTTCTTGCATATATTGTCAATTGTGGTTTGTGTTGTTTTTCTCCTCCTTTCCTTGAGCACAACCTCAGGGTTGGGTGCAAAATGCATCAATTGGCCAGGGAGATGTATTTTTTGTAGAACATTACCAATATTTACAATCCTCTCCCTTTAATGTTATTCCTACTTCCAACTCTTATGCATCTTCTTCTTTTTCTTTGTCATGAAATACTTGAATTTCTTTCATCAATTCTTTTTATCTCATTTCTTCTTTTCTTTTTCCTTTTTGGCTATCTATGTATGTTGTATCTATGTATGTTGTAATGTCTTCTTGAAAACCCTCAATTAGTTGGTGAATCTTCAGCCAAGTACCTTTGAAATAATGCTCAAAACAATCTCTAGGGATAGCCAAAAAAATCTCTTAATTTTTTTTATTTTAAAAAATTTTGATTCAAGAAAAAAAATCGAACTTGGATTTTTTTTGTTTTTAATCATCTTAGAACCATGTAAAATGGTTCTAATGTGTCTTATTTTATTTTATTTTTGTTCTTAGGGTCGTTTTTTTTTTTTGCGGTGGTGGGGGGGTGGGGGGGGGGGGATGGGCTTATTATCCCTATCCCGGATATGCAGGCATAATGCATTATGCAACCACATTGTAAAAACAATGTTCATGACAACAAAATGCTTTTCATTTTCATTAAGTTCTCCTACCATGCTCTCTTCTTTTGCTATCTTTATAATATAATTTCTAGAAAATGGGAATTTGTTAATTTTTACTTTTAGATTTTGACTCTTTTGTCATGCTAATCTGCTCAAATCTGCTGTGTTCTTGTGGAATAAGAAATTTTATTCATGGAACAAAGATAATTGCCAATGATCAATTCATAAAGAGCAACCAATTTAAGGGCTGTTAACGGTTCGGGGTCCAAGATGGGTTGACATTGACCCAAACCTGAGCTGAGCGGGTCCAAGATGGGTTGACATTGACCCAAACCTGAGCTAAGCGGGTCCATGCTGGGTTGACATTGACCCAAACCTGAGCTAAGCGGGACCAAGGTAGAAACAAACCCAACCCGGGTTGGGTCCAACCTGTCTGGTTCCAAGTTGGACTTGGACCCAAACCGAGTCACCCGGACCCAGATTGGACCTGAGATGGGTCCAGGTCAATTGGATACGGTCTTAACCCCTCAAGTTGGTTCTCGTATAGGCCATAACATATTGTGGAATATATAATTATCATATAAATATATATTTACTTTATGTATATATAAATATAAGTTTGAGTTGACTCCGACCCAACCAGATTTGCTCCAAGATGGACCTAGACCTGACCAGGGTTGGGTCCAAGTCAAACGGACCCAGATGCTACCAGCTGGTAGGCTTGGCAACGAGCTGACTGGCTGGCCCGGCCCGGCACGTCCATGAAATGTAGGGCATGGACCACAAAATTGGCCGGAGGTCCGGGCTAGGTCCTGGCCACCATGGCCTTAGGGTCGGGCAGGTCTAGGGCTAGGACCATGGCCGGCCTGGCCCGGTTAGGCCTTGTAGTTTCCTTTAATATCTTTTCAATTTTTTTAATTTCTATTAGGCCCTGCCAGACCAGGCTAGGGCCTAGGCGATGGCCCCTTTAGTCTGGTTTGGGCGGGCAGACCCAACCTCAGGCCCTTTGCAAGGCCTACCCGTCGGGTCCAAAACCGGTCTAGACTTGGCTTGTGTTGGGTCAATCCATTGTGTTGGCCGGTCAACCTGACCCAATTGCTACCCCTATCCAATTTTTATACGAATTTTTCGTTTTTTGAGAGCTTAATGTTTTGTGAATGTTCGAGAAACTGTCTTTTGATAGGAGAGAGTAGAACTGCAACTATGGTGGTAGATACATAGTTTTCCTACCTCTTGCATGTGGATCTTGGTCTAATGTGGATTTTCTTTCATTACACTACACACATTCACATGAGATCCCTTACTGGTGAAATGGATCAATAGATGTTTGTTATCCGACTTATCTCTCAACTTGATGTTTTCTGGTTGAGTATTCTACATGTTTGCATATTTTTTTGGGTTTCTTGCTTTCTTGCGTGTGCCTTGTTCTTGGTATTTTTATTGCTTATGTACCAGCTAGCTTTTTGGGTCATTGGGCTTCTTGGGTCTTGTATTGAGTTTCATCCTGTGTCTTTGTTCTCTAATAGCTCTCCTACTTTCACGACTTCTCAGGTTGCAAGTCTGTTGGACACTGATGATAGGGACGTTGGAACTGCTGTGCAACTAGTTGTTGCTTATGATATATATCCACTTCTGGTTAATTGTCTCATTCATGGGTAGGGGATCTTCTCATTTTCTTGATGCAGTATATTTTTTCTTGAATGTATATGAGGCCCTCTCAATTTTCATTCACTATGAATCTATTTCCTCGAATCAGTATGAGAGGTTTTTAATGCTTATACAAAAAAGCATGCAAAAAATCGGTGCAAAGGCTTCTTAATATGTCTCCCATAGTGAAATCTTAAATGGGTAAGATATTGTTAACCAATGTCAATACACATGGTTAAAGAGGGCCTGGGGTGGAGTAGTACGTGACCATGAATAATTTATTTTTTGCTAAACGTTACTTTGTACCATCCTAAAGTTGGTAGATTCTCAATAGATCATGATCTGGTGAAAGGAATAGAATGCTGGATGCTATTTGAGATATACTTTGAGCAGATCTGGACTGGTGTTTATGTGAACTTGGCTGCATGGTTTTGGAATATCTTGGGATGCTTAGCATGTATTGATGACTCAAAATTGTTTCCTAATTTTGTAAAATATTGCTAATTGTTTCCCAACTTTGTAAAACATTCCAAGAATCATCAGAATTTAATCAAAATGTCATTTTTCCATGGTTTGTTCTATATTATTTCTGATTCTTAAAGAGTCGTAACTGCATGATCCATGACCATATCATTTCTTGTGTTGGGGATCTGTTGTAAGCTCCTTCAGGATTTAGTTAACTTATGCTCCATTGATATTCTTGAAAGTTGCATTTCATGTGTTTCCTGAATATATATCTAGCAATTTCCAAGTGAACAATGGTCCTGGCGGAGGAAGTTTGTGGATTAGGCATCGGTCTATTGGGTTAGTTCTTATGTCATTGGGCTGTAATGGTAACATCTAAGGTCATCTACAGTACTTATTTTCTTTATGTTTTCTTTTTGATTGTTAAAAAAAAAAACTCATTGTGTTTCCTTTAACTTTTTGTATTCTTTTCTTCATATATAAAAACTTTTAAGTTATGAGTTTAACATTTGCTTTGGATTTTCGATGTTTCAACTATACATTGCAAGCGGCGACCTTCATTATAATGGTTATCCTTGAGCTAGTTTCTTGGACACTGTTTGGACTTCTGGATGTTGTTTAGCTTTTTTATAATGTTTCTTGTTGTGATGTATTGACGAACAAGTTGCAAGAGCTTAACATACAGTTCTTTTCGTAATGCAGTTATGAACAAGTTGCAAAAGCTTCAACAGAAGCAATAAAGAATCTTGCAAGGTCTCCTCAAGGGCTAGTAAGGCTGTAATGCATGAAATCTTTCTTCTATGGTTTCTTGTAGCTAGTACTTTGAATATGTCATGAAATTATCGATATCGTCTTGCTTGCGCTAATTATGTCCAGGATATTATGTTTCCAACGAAAGAGGGTTTAGCTCTATCACTCAAAGACCTGGCAGCTCGCAGTTCATCATTGGTACGTTCATTTCAGTTGTCACAATAAAATGACTATAGTAGAATATGATTATTGTGATGATTTTTTTCTTCTTTTTTTCTTATCATCAAATAGGATTCCCATACAAGCCATTTGTTTATAACTATGTAATATTTGGTTGAGGCTGACAAATATCATGTAGAAAAAAAGCTTCTTGTTGCAGTCTAAAGTGAAGTGCTGAAATATGAGTTCAGCATCTGTTCTTTGGTGCTATTAATAGATCTGATAACTGGAATACCCGGTTTTGTATTGGTAACTTTGCCACATACATGGCTTTTACTATGGCCAAGTATAAGGAATTGAAGCTCACTTTCTAAAGTGAGGTTGAAAAATCTTTATTAGGAGACCCTCAGGGAATCTGATGAGAAAGTTTGACTGAAAAAAAAAACAAAATGAGTGTTCTAAAACTCACCCTAGTGGACTCGGACTCGAGCAAGTCCCTGCTGAATTTGGCACATGGTACATGTACCATGTACACTACTTGGGCGAGCACTATACAGACCTTCTTGAGTAATATGAAAGGGGGGAAGACGAGGAATCTGCCCCCTTTTTCCTTTTCTATTTTATTTGGAGCCCTAAACCCAAGGGATTTGAACACACATTCATTCCTTAGTTAAATTTTTCCTTATCTATATATGGAAAACTCTAGATTTGAGAGTAAAACACTAGATTTGACAGCTTTTCGATGTTAAAAAAATTAGTCAAGTCTTTCGTATCGGTGGTCAATTAGTTCGAAAAATTGTGATTTCTTTCGTATCGGTGGTCAATTAGTTTGAAAAATTGTGATTTCTTTCATATCGGTGGTCCTTTTGGGGCTACCCTCTGCCCTTTTCTAGCCTTCCATTTTAACCAACTCGCACCTCCTAATAAGTATTGTACTGGATCTGCGCTGCACGTGGCCAACCCACTGATGTCTACTCTCTCTCATCTTATCGTGTATTGGAGCCGTACTTAAGTTTTTCCTAATGTATTCATTTCAAATTCTATCCTTTCTTGTCTTGCCCCTCACCCATCTCAACATCCTCATCTCAGCTACACTCATCCTATAGGTATGTTGTTTCTTAACCGGCCAACATTTCACCCCATAAGCCTTGTTGACCATTGCCAAAAAGAAATATACTATTGCAATGCATGCTCTTGCTTCTTATAGTTTGTTGAGAATGTGTGTTTTGCCAACATGAAAGTAATTTGTTGGGTGCTTTGTTGTCCTGAAATTTCAGTTTCATTGTTGAATTTTGCAACTTTGGCAATGCTCCTCCTGTAAAACATCTCACTTCTATAAATTAACTTTCATCTCCTAGAGTTTTGTTTACTTGGAAGATAAAATCATGTTTTGTGTTCTTGGAACTGCAATATCCGTCATTGAAATTCCAAATCTAAAGTTTGTGGGCAACTCGAGGGCTCTGCCCCACTTCTAAAGTGATGTGGTAGATAAATTCACCCTTACCAATATAGAAATAATCTGTTTCCCCTAGCTATCTTTAGATAAGAGGTATGTGCATTGCATCTAAAAGGCCATTTTCATCTACTTTATCATATGTATGTGTCTGTGTTTATATGTAAGCGGCAAATTGTAAATAATAGAATAGTCATGAAAAGAGCCCAAGGGATCTTTCCTTTTATATTGTGTAATGGGAGAATGGAATGAGTTTGAAGAGCAGCTCCATTGTAAGAGCTTTTGACAAACACTGTAAAATTGTTTCATGTATTGCATTTTAATGCAAGAAAAAGGCTTTCAAAACTCCACTAAATACTCTAAATTTTATAAACTAAATTAAATGTCTTATTTTTCATATGGTGTTGAATAATATCTAAGTCTAGTGGATGCGATATACTACGGCTAATGTTATTGTTAAAATGTATGGGATAGTATGAGATTGCCATAACCAGTCAGGAGTATTGAGACCTCATTGACTTTGAGGCAACATTATTTTTTAATTATCTTATAGTACATGTTGAGCATTATTTGTCGTTTATTTTTGAATTATTTGATAATACATGTTGAGCATTATTTATAATTGTCTATCTCTTTATATTGCAATATAATCAAACTTATTATTATGTAGTATTTGTAAAAATCTTTTATTAATTTATTTTTCATTGTTTTTATGCACTTCTTGGAGAAGTCATGCTTTACATTTTGGACATCCTAACTTGTCTAGCAATTATTTAATCGGTGCTCTTGTTAGCAAACTCAGCTATCTGAAATATGTTTGCTTATTATTAATTTTGTGTGTGCTATCTGAACTATCTGAAAGATGCATCGACAATGTCTGTGCTAGTTTGTACTGTTTTATATCATACACATTGTCTGCATATCATGTTGATTTCTTTCTGGCCATGGACAAATATGCGATGTTTCTACTGCTCTATGTTGTGTAACTTGTGCTTTTTGATATCGACTTGCTCCAGGCACGGATTCGGATTTTGGCTCTCATCGCAAAGCTGTTCTCCATATCTAGCTCAGTAGCAGTGGCCGTCTATGAATCAGGTCTTCTTAACGTATTGGAGGCAGAAGTGAAGAACACATCTGATGTGCTTATGACTTTGAGTGCTTTGGAAGTTCTCTACGAGGTAATAAGACATAATTTGGAAATTGTCTTGTACATCATTCTGGCAGCATCTTAGGTTTGAACTATTTCTGATGGTTTGACTGATTCATTGTGTTATCCTCTTACCTGCGATTAAATCCTTGGATTTGCAAATATAAACTTCGTCATTTTTAAGCACTTCAACTTGAAGGAAAGATCGATGAATTCTTTTGTTTAATCCACTCTATGGGCGTATGATTTAGGATCCTAGTGCTAATTGACCTTTTGGACTTTTTTTTTTCTATTATAGCTGAGCTTGTAGCATATGCTAGGAAAGCTGACCTATCTAGTTGCTTCTGGATTTGAACTCTGTTTTCTTATTCAACTTCAAGCTTGGTTTAAGAATGTAGATCTGCATAGGGCTTTGTGCATAGTGGATGAACTTTATAAGGATTTCGGATGGCATATTAGCCAAAATCACTTCAAAAGTATTTCTATTGTTTTTATAAGGGATCTGGATTTTTTTTTATATATTTTAATCAGAATATCATTTGAAAAGATATTTTTTCCTAAAACATGTAAGTTTTTAAAAGTTAAGTATCACCTTTTTGAACTTTGGTCCTATTGCTGCCATATGTGGACCATCTTTGCCACCACTTTTGGGAAGTTCTGGTTAGCACACCTAACATATGGCCTAGAGTTGAATTGGATCAGTTGCTTCTTCCTTGACTTTTAATCCCTTAGGGTCCTTGAGGAAGTCCTAACTTTCTCTGGATAAAGCCAAAGACAAGAGTTGAAACAATTTTTGGTCCCCTCAAACAGCTATTCATGACTGCAGATTGAACATATTGTGGATAGTTTGGATATCTATTGATATTTGAATGGATAGCTGGAATTTTCCTTCCCTTCTTTACTTTCAAATGAATACATACATAACTAACACCTGCAAGCATTACAAGTAAATCCCATGATATGTTTTTTCAAGTCATGAAAATTTCTTGAGCCTTGAACTTGTGTTTTGATCAGTTAGAGAAAACCCTAACATATGGGCCTTTGTGTTATGCTTTATTCACAGTTAGCAGCATCCCCATATAGTTCAGAATCTCTCTTAAAGACATCCCTGCTTCAGCTGTTGATCTCAATGATAAGGTAATAAAAGCACAATCTTTATACGGAGTCACATTTAGGGGTTTCATAACCATCTGTATCCTTTTACTCTGATGACCTTACAAAATTCCTGATGCAGCAATTCATCAGCGGAGTCCATATTGCGCTCCAGAGCAATTTTGATATGTGCGAGACTATTGTCTTCAAATGAAATATTCTCTCTTATCGGTGAATCAAGTAAGGAGTGGCTTTTATTACTGTTATCACCTTTGCGTCGCAGATTTTGTGGTTTCCTTAGTTTCTATACTTGAACTATTGCGCACTAAAAAAAACTAGTTTGTATATATCGGGCACAAATGGTCTGACATTACAATATATACTATCGGTCTCATGTATTTGGTATCCCTCTAATGTCATAGATTTTGGCCACATAATGTTTCTATAAAGAGGGGCATTTAAGATGTGAATGTTAGCTTTCTATCTTTCTACAAGGACTGTGAAATGGTGCTAAGAAGCATATCCTAATGGGAGCCAATGGCATACAAATAAAGCTTTCAGCAGTAACAAAATAAGAAAAGAGAATAAGTATCCCCAATGTACATATTTTCTAATAGAATGCTGAAAAACCTTCTACAATTAGCTTTTGTGGATGATCTTTATGTAGGAAGATGGGATGCCTTCTTAAACATTACAAAGTATATCCTGGTTGAGATGCTTTTTTGTTAAATAGTAGACATCATATAGGAAGATGGGATGCTGTCTTAAATGGTACACATTTCTTGTATGAAACGACATAACGTTGCATCTTTTTTTTGAGAGTGTAGATATTAGAGACTTTGTTCAATTGCAAGATAGGACAAAATAATGAACCAACAATACCGAAGTTGGACAGTCAACTAGTCTTGTTTGCCAGTTGTTCATTGAGAGAAATTAATGGACGTATCGTCGACCAATGTTAAAAAAACGTGGATTCAACAGCCTAGACCATGTAGATATCTAATGTTAAAAGCGAGTTGCCAACGTTCTTTGGCCTATCCTAGTAAAAAGAGCTAATAAAAGGGGTTATTTGTAATAATTGGGATTTTTTGGTCTTTCTATACTCACGTAAGTTATAGGGACATTTTAGTACTTCTGGATTTTATTTCTGTTGAAGGGTTAATTTTTTTTTTTGACAGAAAGTTAACTTTTGTATTGTTGTATAGAGTACAGAAGAGGGATCCGAGAGTACCCACAAATCGGGTCTCTCGGTAAAAAAATAGGTCAAGTGACCCTGTACAAAAACTAGGCTTATGACTTGTCTGATTACAATAGATATATTTGTGAGTTACAAAACATTGGGGCTTATAGACTTGCCCGATTACAAGATCTGTACTAAGGTGTAACTAAACGCTTGTACGCCCTCTGTGGTCCAGAGCAAAAAGGAGATGGACCGGGCGGGGTCTTTTGCATGGGCCCTAGCTTCGTCTTTTGCTAGAAGATCGGCGAACTCGTTGGACTTTTGCCAGATATGGTTCCATAAGACATCCATATCCCTGCAAATGTTAGCAATCTCATAAAAAATCGAAGAAAGGTACCATGGAGGTGGTGAAGTGCCTGTTGCTCAGGAGATGACATTTTGGGCATCTCCTTCCACCAGCACTTGTGATCCCCATGAATGGTTGAAGCTTTTAAGACCCAAGAGCAGAGCCATGGCTTCAGCATACTGAGAGTCTTCATGGCCCAAGTGTTCAGAATAAGTGAACATAATATTGCGATGATGGTCTCGGAAAACACCTCAGGCGCCATTAGGGCTAGGGTTCCCCAGAGAGCAACCATCGAAATTAAGCTTGATGGTGCCTTCTGGAGGTGGCAGCCAGTTGTTGGGTCTTTGGAGCTTCTGTGGCTGAAGATAGAGAATGTTTTCCCATTCGCCGAGAAAAGTGTTTGCTGAAATCCTTGAGACGGCCCTGTGGTTAGAGGTTCAGAAAGTTACTAGAGTAGTAACCTTGTGGAAGAGCACCAAGGCTACGTTTTTGTGACCTTGGAAGACCCTCACATTCCTTTCTAACCAGATGACCCAGATGGTAGCTGCGATGGCAGCCTTCCACATTGCTCTATCGGCCTTCGGCCAATGACAAGCGTAGTACGAGGAGATAAGAGCCTTGACCGTGGGTGGAGTGACCCATTGAAGGCGGAACAACTATAGCACTTGGCTCCACAGGTCATAAGGGAGACTGCAGTGAATGAAAAGGTGTGGATTCGATTCCTCCTCACTCATACACATTGCACATCTGTTGGGGATCGGAATCCCTTTCTTTTGAAGCTGGTCAACTGTGAGAGCCCGTTGAGAACAGGCAATCCAATCGAAGGTCTGTACTTTGAGAGGAGCAATGGTGAACCAGACTTTGGAAAGGACAGAGATAGGATTGAGTGGGAAGGTGGGGGGTTGAATAAGTCTTTTGTAAAACGAGGCCACTGAGAAGGTACCAGAGGGAGCAAGGGTCTAGAGTAGAGAGTCCCTCCCAAGTGGAGCTATGAAGATGGGGTGCAAAGCAACCGAAAGTGAGAGGAAGAGTCTAGTTTCCTCTTCAGTGAGGTTTCTTCTGAAAGAGGGGTTCCGGACTCTTCGGTCCCGCTGACGTGACCATTTGTTCTACTTGAGAAGGTACCAGAGGGAGCAAGGGTCTAGACTAGAGAGTCCCTCCCAAGTGGAGCTATGAAGATGGGGTGCAAAGCAACCGAAAGTGAGAGGAAGAGTCTAGTTTCCTCTTCAGTGAGGTTTCTTCTGAAAGAGGGGTTCCAGACTCTTCGGTCCCCCTGACGTGACCATTTGTTCTGCTATGGTAGAGTCTTTGTTAGAGGCAAGATGGTAGAGGGATGGAAAGAGGTCCCTTAGAAGAGTGTGTCTTATCCAAAGGTCTGACCAAAAGCACACTCTTGTACGTTCTCTAGGATGAAATCGGATGGTTTGCTTGAACAGTGAGAGAGAGGAGGCGAAGGACTTCCATGCTCCTGAGGCCCTACTCGGGGATATCCTCTCAGGCACCCAAGTTTCTTCCGGGATCCTGTAATTGCTGCGTATAACCTGAACCCGGAGGGAGTTAGTCTGGGTGGCTAAGCGTCAGCACCATTTCCCTAGTAGGCTAGGTTGTGTTTTCTTAGGTTCCTGATCCCTAGCCCTCCTTGAAGTTCGGGTAGTCGGACTTTGTCCCAAGAGATGAGGTGACATTTGGTTTTCTCAGCCTGTCCTAACCAGAGGAAATTCCTCATAAGCTGGTCTAGACGGTTGGCCACTGAGGCTGGCATGTGGAAGATAGACATTAGGTACACCGGAGCATTTGCCAATGTTGCTTTGACCAGCGTAGTGAAGGGTCTATAGATTAAAATAAATTTTTCAAATCTAGGGACTGGTATTGCACCCCTCATAGGATTTTGGGAGAAAACAAATATAACCTTATGTAAGGCAAACATTGCCACCTTTTGCTTGGTATTTGAGTAGGACATGGTAGGAAGAAGGGATAGTCCACCATTTCTTCTCCATTTCCTTTGAGGACTTCATCTCTAATGTGGATTCTGACCCTGTTTCATGTGTTTCTTCTTGATTTTCACTCTAGAACTTCCTTCTTCTTTGTCATTTGCACAGATCTGAACTTGTTGTGCTTTAACAAGAAAAAAACATCAATTTGTGCTGCATCACTTTAGGTCCAATCTGAAGAGGCAAGTATGCATCTGGGCTCATCTTTTTGGTCCAAAGTAAATCTCAATGACAAGTACGCAATTTGTAACTCCTGGCTGCTCCGATCCCCTAATTTCTGCGAACTTGCTCATCATGGCCAAGACATCGGTATGGTTGTATATCAAAACTGTGATGACCCTTATTTTCTTTAGTATCCCCTCCACCATTTTCATCTTGCTAATTTGCCTCAATGCTAATTTGCCACAAGCATAAGGTCAATGCAATGCGCTGCACATATTTGCCAGAAAATGTGCTACTCTTAACTTCCTACATTCTAGCAGCTGCCAGATTGGCCTTGGCCTTGGCCTTGTCAGTATCTACCAAGACCATATGTGCCTCCCCCACCTCAACATACTAAGTTAATAACTTAAAAAATGAACTTCGCATCATGAATTTTATTAGATGCACCAATGGACAACCCATAGGAGAATTTGCCATTATGTTCGTTATGCTTCTCTCCTCTTATTTTTCCATGTATGAGTCACATAGTGATTCCACTCTTCCCTCGTGTATCACTGTGGGTCTATAGGTAGTCATTTGTGAGTTCCACCTCTTTTCTCATTAACGGTTCCTTGAGCTCATAAGGTATAGGGGCCTTATACTGCCGTACTGCTTCCAAAATAGCTTGGAAAGCAGCATTGTTATGACAAGCCTGCTTGATAAAACCATTGAGATACAATCTGAGACACCCGACTCTACCTTCTTTCATTATGTGCCTCTCTATATAGTTCTCTGCTATGTTTCTTGAACCCCGTCCTCAAGATCATGGGTTGATTTAAGAATCCAAAGGCCTCTTATGCCCAGACCCCTTTTGCTTGGTACTAGAACCTCCTTCCTTGGCATATACATCGTCTTCTTCTTCTACTACAAAAACGTCCATAGATCTTATGGTATCATCATATTTTTTTCCTTGCATCTTTTTTTTTCTTTTGGCCTGCCTGTAAATGCTCCAAAATTTCTCTCCTAACATTAGCAATACCTGAGTGCATGGGGCTACATCCCCTCTAATGCTGTCCAAATGTTTTTTCACTCAATTGATGCAGGAATTATAGGGCTTCTTACGAATTTGCACTCCACCCTATTCTTGTCATTTAGATTGCAACATGATCCATACTTTCAACCTGGATCGACTTGTGTATTTGGACCTAATGTAGACATTGTCATGGACCCCACAGTGCCTCCTACTTAATAGCACCACCCGAACCCCAAAAAATGCATCAAACATAAGTATTGAATGAAGTAGCCGTATTGTAGTTTGGGACTCTAGGGATGCAAGAAAAATAATGAAAGTATTGAATAAAATAACCTGATTTTAACCCAGTTTTAGAAAGTGGTCGAGATACTCAAATTCAAGTATTGAATGAAGTAATCAAGCTAGAAAAATTCTTAATAATATACAAAATGAAAAACTAGGTAATTTCACAAAACAAAAACTCAGTTATCCGAGATTTGATAAAAGTCACTAAACATAACCGAATAACAAGAAGAAACATTTGTTGATTTACAAAACTAAATTGTAAAGTATTGATGCAAGTGAAACAACTCGACTATATACTATTTAATAATTAACATAAATCAAGATGAAACAATCAAACTTCAATAAAAAATCAATAAAGTAACCCAAAGCAGAAAAATATTTAATAATTTAAAAATTATTATTATAAAAAATCGCAAAACAAAAATGCAACTACCCAAATATATTATAAAATCGTAAATGCCACATAAAATATTAATAAAATACCAAATACTATAAAGGGGCAATAAAGTTAAAAAAAAAAAAACACTTTATTTCCTCTTTTCAGTTAATGAACAATTTAAGAGCTCATAAACTAGAAAAAAATGATATGGTTTGAGATTTTATTTAAATATTGGAGTACACCAACCTTTCAAAACCCAATCTATCTTGGATTTGAATTAGTGACCTTTGGTTGCTGAAAAATGTTTTTTGCAACCATTTCAAGCACAAAAAAGTATCGAATTGATTACTTTACAATTTCTTGCAAAATCAAAAAGTTTGAAAAAAATTTCAATTTTGACAAAAATCTGACCTATTTTTTGTTTTGTTTTTTTCTATGTACTCACTCTCAAAATGAATCAGTGGTTTTGGTGGGGGAGGGTGGAATATCTTCCAAATCCCCACCCTTCCCTCCCTCTATTTTCTTGTTTACAGGGAAATTACCTTTTTGTTCTTGGCCATGGGGCATCAAGGCGATTCCTAGGTGCAGGCAGGCAGTTTTGGGGAACTTTGGATTTGGGGCATCAAGGCGATTCCTAGGTGCAGGCAGGCAGTTTTGGGGAACTTTGGAATGTTCCCCAAATCCCCTCTCCCCCCCCCCCTTTTCTTGGGGGAAAATTACCTTTTTTGTCCTTGGCCAAGGATTTCTCAACCATTAGCGTAGGGGCATCAAGGGCTGCCTAGGTGCAGGCTAGGCATTGCTCGGGTGCCTAGGCATCCATCTTGGACAACGTGATGCGGGGGGCTTCCCCAGCTGCTGGTCAGGAGGCCGATTGTTACCAACATGCCTTTTTAGTGAGCTCTACATTTGGAGACCTAGCATCTGAGTGCATGACTTGAAAGTGAATGATGATGGATGTTTCATGTTTTTATCTCACTCAAATACAGTAGGATGTGAAAGAATAGATTAGTTGGCAGGGCAGATGGGTCTAGTTTTGCTAGGGAAGGTTCATTCTGTGTAGATGTGCCCCACTTATTTGGTTCTCAGTTTTGCTTTGGATGTGAAGAAATAGATGACTATAGCATAGACACTTCCACATCTCTATAAATCCATAGGATGAGATTTTTGTGTGAGATTGGTTAGCTTGTAAAGTATTCCTCTTGCTATGTAAATGTTGAATTTTCAGGCATTAATACTGCTGTCTTGGCAATTGATGGACGATTGGAATGTTTGAAGAGTGAAGACACAGATGAATGTGAGAGTGCACTTGATGCTCTTGGACAAATAGGATCCTGTACGTATGCAATGGTACCTCTATTAATCTGAAGGTTTTTTGCTTTCACTGCTGCATGAATTCAGATGCACTTGTTGGTTTTGCTATTGGTTGTCCTTTCTGTAATACGTTATGTAATTTTCAATTCACTAGTAAGATGAGAGTTGGATGATAATTAATTATGAATTTCATGAATTTGAATATTTGCGAACCCCAAATAGTAGGGACTGGTGATTGTGCAGATTCTAAGTCCGAATCGGCAATTTTATTGTATGTGTAAATAGTAATTAATAACAAGACAATTACCCTTAAATGGCTTTGTTGTCCATCGCTTGTGGTACTTTGCGGAAGTGAGGGTTTGAATCTCCCCAGCAGTGCTCTTTTTTTAAAGAGCTATAGTTTAATTTTTATCAGTACATGAAACACAATATGTCACAATAAGACAGGTAAGGTTGACTGGCTTAGTTGGCTATTGTATGCAGCTTTCTTGTGAAAGATCCGGGTTCTTACGCCCCAGTGGTGCTTTTTTCTTTGAAGAGATCCTTTTTAAGGGCCGTTTTGATATGTATGTATGTATGGGTTTCTATGAATCCCCCGCCTCATTTTGTAGATGTGCATCCCCTCTCTAAAGCCCTTCTTAACCACAGATTTTGGATCCATATTTTTAAGATATTTATAATCCAGGTCATGGTGATCAGTGTTTCAAAAAGTGGATCGCCCAACGCTTGGGCGGCCGCCTAGGCGGTTCTGGGGACGTGGGCGCATCGCCCAGGCCTAGGCGCCCAAAAACGCAGATATCCCTGGGCACGCGCCCAGGGGCGGAAATGCCTCTTGTTGAGGGTATTTTTGGGTCATTTTTTTAATACTAAAGATGCAAAATTGTAGGTTTTAGGTTCATTTGAAACCTAAAACCCATTAGAGCCTATTTTAGAGAAAGAAAAACTAAAAATAAATAAATTTTCTACTGGGTTGCCCAGTTTCTTGGCGCCCACCTAGGCGCTGGGCGGCCTAGATCCCCCCGACCGCCTAGGTGCTGCCTAAAGCTTTTTGAAACACTGATGGTGATCTTGAATATATTATAAATAAATAAAATTCTAAAGTTTTAAAATATTTTTTAAAAAATCTTTTTGCACTATCTATTTGGGTGCCCTTTTGCTAACATCCGTCGTAAAGATGGATGTCAAATGTTCATGGGGGGCATGCGTCCCCCAACTCACAAAACACTTTCTCCAGAGGCACGCACACACATGCATGCACACACACACACACACACACAGGGAGGGAGGGAGGGGGAAATTCGACGATGCGCTTAAGAAGTGCAATGTCTAGCCAACATAGCCATTCAGCCTGTTTTGATGCATTGTCTACATTACATTTATAAATTATAAATTGTAAACGTTCATTTTAATTTCTTCCCCCCACGCCACCCCCACCCCCACCCCCACCCCCACCCCATCCCGCCTCACTCCTCCCCCTGGATCGTGGACCTGGATTGCTGCCTTGTTGGTTCAAAAGACTATTCGGCTGATTCGGATTGGATCGGTGAATGAGCAATCGACCCCACTGATCCGTTTTTCAATACCCTAGTTTAAGATCTCCCTAGTGTGGCATCTGCTGTTTTCAAATTTTATATGCTTGCTAGATCAATTTCTTGAGTCCCTTTGGTAATAATCAGATTAAAGGGTTTAAACCTCTTAACAAGTATCTTCCTTCCCATTGAATCTCAACAATGGATGGCTACTTTTCCCTATCATTTTTCAATGAAAGGTCTCACCCTTAACATACTCTCTTTTTTTTTTCAAAAAAATTTCCCCATTTGCAGTCCTGCTATTTATTTGATAGAATTAAGGGCAGCCAACTGTGTTTTTGTCTTTGTACAACTGAAATATAATCTGCATCATCGTGGTTACCTTCATTTGTCTGTAGCTTCTGGATTTTGTGAAGTTTTTATTGGACAATCAGATGGCTGCATGTTTTTCGTCATTTCCATTCATTTACAGTGGTTTTGTGATGATTGTCTATTTTACGCGTTAGATTGCATGTCAGTGGATGACAACTGCAGTGTTGAAATTGAGACACTGAAAATTTTGTGATGCTTGATGAATATATGTTATTTGTCTTCTGCTGTTTTGTAGCAATTCGAGGAGCTGAGTTGCTATTTTCCAGTTCACCGCCAGTTGCTAGACATGCAGTAGAGGCTGCTTTTTGTAGGCAAGGACCTGGTAAACAATTGGTAAGAAAGTCACGTACTCCAAGAGTTGGTTCACGGTTCTAATTCCAAATGAGTTCCTCATGAGTCCATTACCTCTGATAATCCAATGGCTATGCCTGACCTTTCTAGACTACTGTACCTGTGCATTGTTGATTAAGCTATGTGCATATTCGACCTTACAGTATTAGCTGGCTGGGATCAATTAACTATGAGTTCCAGTTTTAAAATATATTGAAATTTGCAGTACTGCATATCAGGATTATTATGGGAAACATCACTTAGGAAAGACTTTGATGTTTTTCTTGTGATGATGAGCATTACTATTGCGCCAATTACCATGATGGCTGCTTCTATTAAAAATTGCCCTTCCTAAAGTCATTAAATTTGAATGCAATGAGGACCTTATGTATCTGTCTGCTGTCTATTTCATACTGTGTTTGTTGTCAAGCAGGCTGGTCTACATGCACTTGCAAACATTTGTGGAGCAACTAGGTCGGAAGATGGCAAAATGCTTAACTATCATTCAGAGGAGTGCCTTCGGCAGTTGATCTATGAAACAGCTGCCAAAACTACAAAGATAACACCATCAGTGGGTTTCAATTCCTACTTTTTGTTAACATTCTCAAAAAAAAAAAATCCTATTTTTTGTCGGGTTTGTTTCTGTTCCTTTATTCCATTTAGTATTTTCTCTGAAGTAGAGCTTATGTAACAAAATACAAATGACACAATTATAGCTTTTATGAATTAAAAGAAGTTCAGTGGTGTTCTATTGGTGGGTGGGTAGACTGGCTGGTATGTGGTGCTTAATTTTGTCAGCAAATTAGAACTGATACTTTCACTTGAAAGGATGTTTCAGACTGAAAGTATGTTTACTTCTAGAAAATCTGGACTATTCATAAAGAAATGAATATGGTCTATAATAATAAAACAAACCTGACATTCAGCGGCTCCTATTGGCTGAAGAGGACTTCCTGGTACAAGAAACTTTGTGTGTCATGTGTGTGTGCATGTATGAATGAGTGAACGAATTATTTTTTTTTTGGGGTGGGAGGAAGGGAGGGAGGCATTTGTGCGTGTGTGTGCACATGTGCTTGTGTTTGTGTGTGTGCACATGTGCTTGCGTTTGTGTGTGTGCACATGTGCTTGTGTGCATGCATTCTTGCGTTTGTGTGTGTGTGGGGGTGGTTGGTGGGTTCGGGGAGGGAGGGAGCGAGGCATTCATCAATATAATAGTAAGGTTCTAATAAGAAGTGTCCATTCTTTGCACCTTCCAATTAAGATAATAACCTATCTTAAACTATTGAAAAGGAAAAATATAGGTATTCAGATTTTGTGTCTGTTTGAGGATGAAGATTTTTTCTGAGATCACCGAAATTTACTTGATAGTTTGGTAATTGACTGCAGCTAGTGTAAATCATACAGGAGGGCCATCATCTGATTTGAATGCTTTTTTTAGCTCTTTTTCTGCCAAAGTATTCATTACATGAATTTGCATGTTCTTCACATGTAATGTGTGTTGAACACTTACATGAGCACACATGGATGCGTAGAGGGATCTGTTTGTGTTTCATTGATGCTCAATTTATCTTTTGGCTTGTGTGATGGAATCTAAATTCTTCTATAATTTTTTACTTACAGTCAAATATTTTGTAGGGTCTTGTCCTATCAATTTTGCAACAGGATGCAGAGGTTCGTTTGGCGGTAATAACCTAGTATAAACCCTCAAACTTCGCTGCTGACAAGTCCCGATTTTGCTCAAACTTCTATCTTCTTTTTTTGGCTTTGCTAGTATGCTATTTAAATTTCTGTACCATGCTTGCATCACAACCTACAATGTATAAATAACAACTCTGAAACTTATTATCTATGAATTCTTAAGTTTTTGGTATTTGTTCTTGTCTGACTGCTGGTTTATAATTCTTTTTATCAATGAGTAAATCCTTTCAAACCGCACAAATTGGTGAACATGAATATTTTTTTTATTTATAAATAGGCATGACTTGGGAATTTTTGAACAATTAGAGAATTACAGGATAAACTTTGTGATACACAATGGTAATGCATTGGAGAAAAGATTAAATTTGAATGAATCTCACAGGCAATGCATGGAAAACTTGGTGGACTGAGGAATGAAGGAAAGAAATAGGGAAAGCAGGGAAAACTTGTGGAATGCATTGTTGGTGGGAAAAAATAGGGAAATAGGGGAAATGTGTTGAAAAATAGATGACATGCTTCAAAACTTGGGGAAATGAGATCATACTAGCTTCTGAAGAAAGTTTCCCAAAATATGAATACTCCACAAGACTTTCCTTGGAACTTTTATTAGAACAAAAATGAAATAGCAAACCGAATGAAAACACTATCATCCGCCCTTGGATGGACATCTACATGGGTCTGCTCTCCCCCATTTTGGGGCCTTAAGGCTTTTTGTTTTGCCCCAAATTTCAGGGGATTCTTCATCAGGCCAAGTGGATGTGTGTAACAACTTTAGGGTTAAACAAATGCCCCTAAGGAAATGTCCTTAAGGCCCCCAGAATGGGGGAGGGAGGATCATCATCATCATCAGAATCAGAGCCTTTTCCCCACTATTTGGTCGGCTAGACAAATCCAGAGCTGTCATTCTACTTATCAAGGGTCATTCCTTCAGTGGGGCCATAAGTCCCCATGTCCTTTCTCACTACCAAATATTTTTCCTAAAATTGAATTATTATGCATTTGTGACTTCATAGTTTCTTTTACCCCAAAATTAACTCCTCATTTTCTTGATATTGAACCTCCCATACCATGGCTGTTCTCTTTCTCATGGTTTTTTCCTTCTATTTGTGCTGTCTTAATTGTGTGTTGCAGGCATATAGACTGATTGGTGGACTGGTGGCTAGAAAATGGTGCTTGTTGGAGGTCTGCTCAAGGGAAGAGACAGTCAATCTCGTCACTGATGCGCATGCTGAAACCACCAAAAGTGGTGAACTTTTAGGATCAATTTTTTCTTAAAAAAATTGTTTTCTTGTTAGTGCTTCTAATATATAATGTAGCAGTAAAGATAATATCATGATTTATTGCTATGATATTTATGTAACGTCCAAGTTATGATTTACAATACTGGTTAAAACTCTTCATATCCCATGAAATGACCTCCATAATTATTTAAATAGCTTGTGAAGTTGAGAAATCATTCAAAGTTGTGGGCTATGATCATGTAGCCTAATATTGCTGACACCTATGTTTCACCCCGATGAATGGAACTGCTCATGGAACAGCAGGCCCAGTCTAGTACTGCAGGAGGAGTTTGGTGAACTCACTGTCATTATCCATTGTGTCCCTGAGTAATTAAGGAAATTGCCTTAACGGAATGCTCGCAAAGAATGTCCTTAGGAACCTAGGTTCTAAAATAAGCTTTTGGTGGGAGGCTGTTGGATATATTACTCCATGTTAAGTAATTAAACTGCTGAAATCAATACTTAAACACACAGAACTTATGCTGCTCTGTGGAAGCCCGTCACAGGTATCTTAGCCGCAGTTATCTTGGTCATCTCTTTGGAAATGGAAGTATCTTATACTTATCTGCAAAAAATGGTGATTGACTAGTTAGTCTTGTGTAGATTCCTTTCTTTCAATTCATTTCTCCTATGGATTGAACTAATTGCAGGTATGGAAGCTCGACATTCATGCTGTGTAGCAATTGGCTTTGCTTTGGCAAATTCAGATAATCAGAAGATTCAAAGCAATACAGCTCTGATAACGAAGGTATGGCTCTTGTTGACCTCTAGTTTATAGGTCAAAACCCCAGGCTGAACTAGCAAAGCAAGCCATACTGATTTTTAAGCTAATCGTTTCTTGAAAGGTCAATACATAGACAAAGAAAGAGCACTGTTCAGTCGGAGTGCTGTCCTTCCTTAACACGGGCCACAAATACACCATGCCCATGTTGGACCCATGGAGATGGTGCATTTGTAGGGGTGGCACCGACCTGATTAACCCCCATGGAGGAATTACGAAACATATGTAGCTACCTATATGCTACAGTATAATCATGAAGAACCCAATTATTTCAAAGTTCAAGTAGTGTCTCTTAATAATTCAAAATGAACTGACTTAAAGAAAGAGTTTAAAACTAACAGTTAACGTTGTATGATTGCTCCTTTAGCATTCAAATTGCCATACACTTTCACGTGAACATCTATAAATACTCCTTGCAAGACAACTTGACGAAGGTACTCGGACTTTGGCCGAGTCCAAGCAACTCACTCGAGTCGTGTGCAATTTTTAAAAAATAAAAGAGAAATAAAGAAATTATAGTTATATACATTACCAAACATAAACAAAAACATTGGAGTTGCACGAAGGTTAGACCTCCCGAGCTCTTTGATGTGAGATTTGAGATTAGTTACCAAAAACCCATTTAGGTGCTGTTTGTAATAGAATGGCCACACTTAATATTTATATAATGTGCACCCTACTCACCCTTGCCCTATGGGAGCCTGAGTAACTCGCCCGAGTCCGAGTTGAACACTGCTCCTTGCTTTGTATATCATCACGAAGTGACTAATGTAAATTTACGGAGGCTGAATATGTGCTTCTTGCCTCATTTACATTCATCTCCCTCCCCTTAGTTATATGACTAATCTCTCTATCTCTCAAGGTTTCTGTGGTAGAAAACTACGTAACACCTTGGGCAGAAGACCTATTCAGGAGTTTTTTTTTTAAGGAAAATTTAACAAAATACTTGTGAGGTGTATTATTAACATTTTACACATGTAATTATTCGAGATCATAATCATTCGTATTTTGATGGGTATTTTGAAATTAAATTAAGCAAAATGGGTAAAATATTAAATTGTTGATCTGTCGTAGGCATTTTGATAAATTGCCTTTTTTTTAATCGGAAATCTTGAGAACCCCATAAGAATCACTAGATGGGATTTGGTCAGGAGGTGAAATTTTGTTCAAGCAGAGGGCTCTAAAAGGGTAAGGAGAAGGCCCAAAAGAACATGGATAGATGATAGAGAAGAATGGAGGAATAGGATTCATGTAGCTGATTCCAAATAATTTGGATAAGACTTGGATGATGATTATAATATAAGAATCACAAGATGATTATTTTTAAAAGAAAAAAAATTGATTTTGAGTTTAACGTGGGTCTCTATTCAATGTTGAGATATTATTTTTTTCACGTTATTGAGGTTAATCTATGAGTTCAAGAAGTTATATTGGCAAAATTTAGGGCCCTAAAGATACTCATTGATTAGGTTTTACCCGAGGGAGTAAATAAACAAAATGCTCGGAGGAGGATGAAATTTGTATCTGGATATGCTTTCAAATTTTATCTGAATATGCTTTCATTTGCACCACCCTAAACTTTCTTGGAAGGTCATTCTGAAGTGCGAATTTTCTTGGATGATGATGATGATATATACTGAGAGAGAGAGAGAGAGAGAGAGAGAGAGAGAGAGAGAGATGCTTTTGTATGCATACCTGATAGCCTAAACTTTCTTGGAAAGCCATTTTCGAGTGCAAATTTTGTGGTCTCTCTCTTAGTACCTCAAATGCCCCAACTTTCTATAGAATGCTATGATGCCGATCTTCAAAATGCCAAGGAAAAGAATTCAAGTTTTTCCTTAGTTGAATCGTATCAAACTTCTTTGTGGCTTAAAATCTTTCAAAATTTGTAAAATGCATTTGTGTTGATCTGAGTCGAGCTGTGTCCTATTTGGTCTGTCGGTGGTTGGGGCAACGATCCATAGTTCTCCAATTTTTGCATTTGTTGGTTGGCATGTTTTTGAAGATTATGATTTAGCTGTGTAACGTCGCATGTGATATAAGGGATTCTATACTATGAGAACATTTATTTTTTGTTATAAGGAGTCTCTCTCATTTTTAGCCATTGAATGTGAAACCCAATAGATAGAATAGATAGAAGTATGACACAACATTCGAGAAATTCCATTTTGGACTTTGTACCTAAATAATAACATCTTCAACCATCCTATTTGAAATCTTTGAAATCTAATGTTCAGATGATTGTGAGTTTGTATCAAAAGTAAATGGTCTCATTGTAAACATTTTAAAAATATAATGCATACTATTATTTCCACAGGTGCAAGAAGCGATACGAAGAGGCCCATATCTTACCCAACAACGTGTTGAAGCTCAACCAGTTGTTATGACAGCTGAGAGATTTTGATCACAAATAACTCAATCCAATGATTTCAACTGTGTATCATTTATAGAGAAGTAAGCTTCTTTTAGTATTGTACGTTTGTCAATGGATAGACTTTCAGGTTGTAATCAATAATGCAGACTGTTTAGTCTCTTCTTGTGGCTTGCTTTTTTGTTTACGAAATTTATAATAAGTTATAGGCACTACCTGCAAAGAGAGAAGATGTGTATAGGTTATTGATTAGATTTATATCAAATTATCAATTAGTTAAGGATAAAGCTACCAGTTGGATCTAGAGAGCATAATGGAATACTTTTGATTAATCGCTTTGATTTGAAAAGATCTATTAGAGAGAGAAAATAGCAGACTACTTTATGGTTTGGATACAGTTTCTATACGCCCAGGCTTTAGGAAAAAGTAAAGCTTCACCTCGAATCTTCATTTAGAAAGCACTTTAGGCATTGGAAATCTTCATGATTCTAAAATCAATTTTCAAATGCCGAATATGAAATTTGAAGCTCAAAATGGTACTGATCTTGCATATATGTGAACCCTTTTTTTAGGGTGAAATGGATGGTCTAGGCAATGTTTTATGAACGAAAAATTATATAAGATTGCAAACTTAAACCATCCAATTAAGGTGCACCTCAAAAATCCGTTGTGATGTTGGAAAACCTATAATTGATCATCTCAACATCGAGATGTATAAATATGAAAAGAAATTTTTTTTTTGAGTCTGCGAAATAGTGTCTTGTAATACATCGTCTGGATGATCCATTTTGAAGATTTTTATGTGTCTATAGATCTATTTGATTTGTATTAATTTTAGAGTTTAAAATTTTATAATTAAAAAAGATTTTCAAGTAATTTTTTATATTAAAATTATATTTATAATAAATTTTAAAGGTGCGTTTTAGTTGGATTATTTAAGGTTGCAGCCTTATGCAAACCACACCCGTGTTTTATGATATATATTATTTTTAGGTCTTGGAATCTTAATTTCTTTTTACAACTATAACAGTTTGCCCGAGATAATTGTTTCCAAGGTTTTTTTGCTAAAATTGCAATTATTTGTGAATTTTGATAAGATGCTCTACTTGTTTTGAACATTTTCCTTTTCAATTTGATGTAAAAAAGTTTATTAATAATAACAATTTGTGATGCTAATTGTAAATAAAGAATTTATGATCTAAATCATCAATCTTTTTTTGTCCTATTATGATGGGCTATGGCCAAAAAATCTCCTTCCTAGAGATAAACTAATTGATGACGTATTGCTTGGAAATACCCAGGTTTCCAGTTTCCTAGGATTAACCTAACAAATAAAATTGATTTCACGAAGTAACTTCGGACTTGTTAAGTAACAAGTATATTTTTCTCTGTCCACTCTTCATCAGGGTTTTTAAGGTGGTCAATCATATGGGAAAGGTTTTTATATTTATATAGTATAAAATCCTGCAATCACCATGTCATGCCTCTACATTATTTTAGTTTTAATTTTTTTCTACAGAACATTTTGGTGTGGTGTCGTCTCCTCTTTTAAACTCGCACATGCAAAAAATATAAAAAATGTTTTTAATAAAATAAAAGAATCAAAATACCCTGAAACTTTTAATGGTATTTTAATTATTTTACTTTATTAGGATTATTTTTATATTTTTTTTAAATGCATTGAGATGATGGCATGTACCAAATATCATTTTCATATAATTTGTAAAAAAATTAAAATAAAATATTCTAAGATGTCAAATCCAGATAAAAAAAATTAATTGTTCATTTGATCTAAATTTGACTGGATGAAAGGTTAATCATATAACTTATATACCATAGGAAAAGTACATAAAGCTTTCCCTAAATCATATTTGTATTCACTCTCTCGTTTAAAGAGAACCCACATAATTCTCTGAATCCGTATTATCTGCGTATGTGTGCGCAACTACGGATCTGTAAATGGTACGGAATGGGATGAAAAATAAAATAAGGTTTACATTGATAGGAAAATATTTTAAGTTTATATTGTTAGGATAAAAAGTTTACTATAACCCCTAGGAAGAATTTTAGTGCGCGAAAGGGGACACCAGAGTGAGTGGAATGCTAGGGACATGGGACTTGAAACATGTCCCAAATTATTGAATATATTTATTTGTAGGCTTAAGATTGGTCTACAAAAGGAAAAAAAAAGAAAAGAAAGCAACCATTGGACCTTGGTGAGTGAGTTGGGCTACTCATGAATTTGCCTGCCAAGAGGGATTCAGGACGAGATGCACATCCCAAATTATTGGCTGACTCACCGCGCATATGGAGCCCCGACCCGAACACAAGAATGACTAGAATTCAAGTGAAAAGTTTTTTAAAGAATTTAGAAAATGGAACCTTTTGCTTCAAAGTTCGGGTCGAAACACCGATTTCATAAATTGAGCCAATCACCCAACCAGTTTTCCTATTTTAAGAAGGAATACTTCACCGATTCTTGGCTCAAAATGCAAACCCCAGTGTCCCCTATTTCTCAAATGAGTAAGCAAAATCTCCTCTCCACTCCAAAACACCGCAAAAACAAAACACTTAAAAAAGCTCTCAATCAATTAAAAAGTGCTACAGACAAGAACCGGAGATAAAAAAGCGACTGACATCAATCTTAGTTTTAGTGAATTCTAAATGTACATACACTACAGTTTTTTAAGCATCAACAGGCTGGGGCGTGTACCAAGCATGATGGATTTCCACAGCTTTCTTTCTCCTCGCGAGCCTGGACTTGCGGTGGGCACCAGTGTTCCTGTGCAGGGTGCCTTTTTGAACTGCCTTATCAATGGCGGAATAGGCCTCAGCAATCAATTTCTCAACGGGGAGGATCTCGTCTGCCTGAGCTTCAGTCTTCTTTTTTAACTCATCGAGAGCATCAAAAACCTATTATAAAATAATTAAGAATTGAATTGAAATAAAAAAAATGAATTACGATTCTTGCTCAAGAAAATGAAAGGGTTCCATTAACCGTAGTTCTTTCCACTTGCATCATGCTTATAAAAAATTCTCTTTTTTTTTAATATGTTAACTCTAATTAACTAAAAGAAGCACAAAGAAAATGAGGGTCTGGATACCCACACATGGGTTCCACCCAAAAAATAGGCTACCCACAGACGGGTGCATATACAAGGAGCCTAGGGTGCCCTATACAAGTTCTCATTAGAAATTACAGCAATTGCCTCAAAAAGAAAGAGTCAAATTCAGAAACTGGTTTGTTCTTTAGAAACACTACAATTACTATTGTAAGGATCAAAAAACCTTTGTTCACACAAAGTTTGCGTAAAAGCATATAAATATGATGTGATTTTCCTAGGTTACAAGGAAATATAGGGCAGTGGCAGAAATGACAACTACAAGGTTGAATACATATTAACAACTTCCCCTTTCAGAAACGAAGTGAGTAAAATCTTACACCTTTAAAGAATAACATGAGTAAATTCCGGCCCTAGGATAACTCATGGACTCCAAAATCTGATGGACAAATTCTAAATTTCCAATTCTGCAAAGGGACAATGACAAAATCAAAGACATGAGAGAACAGTTTGACCTCTATGCATACTATTCATATATCATGAATGTAAGTTCTGAGGGCACTTTATCATCATCTCAAATCCAAACCAACAAGATCAATCGTTTGGAAACAACTCATTACCCAACACCCTAAAGAAGTTAAGGAAATAGAAGGTCGACGTGCCAAATAATTTATTTTTATTATTTTCCATACCACTTATCCGTTCAAAAATTAACCCTCCAATTTCGTATACCGAATAATTTTTTCTTTCTTATTTTCCAACTCGTCATAACTGAAGCCCCCCATAAAGACAAGCCATTATCGTTTTCTAGCCTGCCATCACACTAGCCTAAGCTACAGAACCCACTTCATTCAAAAGAAGACCTTGTTAATCAAGATGTTATAAAGGATTCCATGCCAAAACCTGTCAATTTGGTGCACTCATTGAGTGCAAAGAGACATGCACACCCATAGCATCGTTCTTGATCATGATAAATGACCCACCCTAAAGAATTGTTTACAATAGGCTCAGGAGAATGGGATCTGTAATCACCATTTTTATTCACCGTTATAACAAAGACCTTAAGCAAAAAGGTCAGACTTGGCATGCGATGAGGGATTCACCCTAGGGATGTCAAATCTCTCCTACCTCCAAATTTGTAGATTAAATGATTGCTTCGACAGGCATTGATTGAACATGACCTAACTTTACTTATTTTTGGCATTGATTGAACATGGCCTAATTTTACTTCTTTTTTTTTTTTGTTTAGTATTGTTTTTTGGAAGTTTACCTACATAGCCTTATGATTTAAATTGGAATCATTCAAGGTTGATACAGCTCCCAAAAGAGAAAGATATGGGTGTTAGGATGGGGAATAGGAACACTGGGGATGTCAACCATACTTGACAAAGTGATTGAGCCCCACCACCCCAACAACAAATCCACAACTTAGGGTCTCCCTTCCATGTGGAGACTCAAGGATTAAGGTGTGGGATCTGATTTTAGAGTCTAAGTCTGTAATCAGTAAACTAGGAGGATAGAAAAGTAGTTATGTCCTTCAGGTGTCCCATTACCATCAGTGAAGCCGCATCACCAAACCTCCCTATTCCTGAACGTCACTCTTTAAGATTACTGAAGTGGTTAGTAATCATTTGATGGAGTTACTGCACAGGGCAGATCACAAGGAAATAGATTTCACCTAGCAATAAAAGAAGGGATGTTAGCACAAGGAGAATGGAGGCCTTGCCATTAAGAATATGACTATGGCATGCTTTACCAGCCAAATGGAAATTGAAATTAAGTAGCATTTCGTATATACATCATGATTGGAAGTCAAGTTTGGGATGGAAATAGAGAAGGCATAATTTCTATATTATTGGATCCCAATCCAAACATTGGTCCAATGCAAATATGGTTAGCAACAGGACATGTATGTTAGAACTTTTACTATTTATAATGTAGGCTAATTAGGGAATTTTTTTGCAAGAAAATAAGCTTACTTGTCAAGATCACTGTTTTTGGAAAATGGAAACTTCTTTTCAAACTCATGTACTAAGGATGGACCCATGATTCTAAAAACGTAAAAGATATTGCTGATAGACCAGCAAATGTAGAGTGTGAATAAGAATGGTTTGAAACCATAGGATTATATGCCACCATATTATCAACCTACCTTGGAATCGCTGAATGTCTTTCCTTTTAGAAGAGAAATTAATACCCAAAAAACAAAATAAGGCAGGCCTCAGTCACTAGCCTCCAACAAAATGGCACATCCCATAAGAGAAAATAGTCCAATATTTTAACCAGCAAATTTAAGGGTAATCAGTGTTTCCCTTCGAATACCATCCTCCATTATTGCCTATAGCACAAAAGAAATAAATTCTTGGGATGGGAGCCTATGCAACTGCCTAAAAGATTTAAACAAGAACGAGGAAATATAACCTGAATTAAAAATATGTAATTCAGCACCCATACATATGATCACCATAGAACTGATAACCAAAATAAACTTTCAAGTGCTAGTCCAAATAAAGCCATGATATATAGCTTCACCTAAACACATCCAGAGCCCAAATAACGAGCTCCATGATTTCAAGTAAGGATTAAAAGCATCAAAGATTGAACATCAATCCACATTCCAGAAAACTTCCAATTTAAAAGTTTCTACCAAACAGTATTCCATGGGATATAATGAGTACGACGAAGCCCATCATAGGAGATACAAAATAACAGATCACAAATGTGAATCTACTCTAAGTTTACCACATGAACCCAATAAAAATTTCTCATTTGTGGATTTAAAACATCTTAAATTCAAAAAATTTCAAATGTTGCCATTCTTTAACAGTCTAATTAAGCCTACAAAATCATAAAATGGCAAAATAGAGATCAATATACCTTCTTCATCCGAGTCTTAATTTCAGACTTTCGAGACTTGTTACGTATGCGCCTCTTCTCAGCCTGGCGAGCTCTTTTTTCAGCCGAATCAGGTTTCTTTCCACTTGTGGCCTCACAAACAATAGACTTTCGAGGAGCCATCTTAATTGCCCCATATGTGTGATCCCCTAAATTCAAATTGGGAATTACATGAAGGTTTTTCTTTGTTAAAGTTGAGAGAATACAGTACTATGTACTCGGGAAAAGCCAAACAGATGAGAAGAAATAGAACACCTCTTCGGAAAAAGTATAACAGAAGTTTCGTGCTCATTTAAATCATGATAATTTTATTTTTGCCAAAATGAGGAATAAAATTCATATAAGGTATCAACCCTATATTGTAGAAGTAAGGCACCCCTGAAAAAAATTCATTGGAAGATGTTGTAGAAAAATCCTCAAATGTATGGATATGAACGAAAAAAAAAAAGGAATTTCCAGTCCTAAAAACGACACATCTTGTAGCATGCCAAGATTTTAGTGCGTTTGTAGATTTGCACAAATTTTTTATTTTAAAATTCATAATTAGATGTGAAACACATTTTTATGTCATCGTTAAAAATTTTGACACCAAGGTTTAGAGGTGTGCTTTACTTGGATTATTTAGGGCTGACACCTTATGCATACCGCACCCTTTAAATAGTGATACATTCAGGTTCAAAAACCCTATTCATTTATTTTTTTCGTGCCAATGAATTCATGAACGACATAAAAGAAGTACAAACACTTCACAACATTCATTAACATTGCCAAAAAAAAAAAAAGATTCATCTAGGCTACAGAAACACTAAATGGATATTTTGAGAGAGAGAGAGTAAAAACATAGTAAAAAGCTAAGAATGAAAGCAGAGAGCACATAAAAATCAGACCAAATATAGAAGGAAAATTCCAAGGTTACCTCGAATTATGCCGTTTTCACATATGTTCTTAGAGAAATTGAGGCTACAAAAAGAAAGAGTGGATGGGTTTGTGGTGGAAGAGGGTTTGGTATTGCAGAAAAGGGTAAAAAATGAAGATACTGAACAAATCGCCATTATCACTCTCTCTTTCAGCGTTGTAACAGAGACCAGACCGTGCCCTTCTTCAGGGTGCTTATCCGTTGGGTGGGAAAATTGTTAAGGTACAAGATGACTAAAAGGCCCCTGCTCGACTTTCTAAGGAGTATTTGTATAAAGGTGCGGTTTGTATAGAGCCTAGGCTCTAAACAATTAAATTAGAGCCTACCTTCAAATAGTGCGAGTGATGTAGTTTTACCGTTGGAAATCTTTGCGATAGCCTTAAAATATAGTTTTATATTGATTTATAAAGTTCAAAGCTTCAAAAATAGTGTTGACCGTTTAAAAATGCGTTACAAAATACATTATTTCTAAAACTTGAAATCTATTTTTTTTTCTCATGTCCATACATCTTAATGTTGAAATGATCAATTTGAAGATACTTGGGCACCAAAACAACCTCTTCCAGTGAACTTTTTGAGGTAGGATCAAATTTGATGTTTGAAAACATGAATATGAAAAAAAAAATAGTCTTAGAAGTAATGTATCTTGCAAAACATTATCTAGACTGTCCATGTTCAAGATTTTCATGTGCATTGATCTACTTGATTTTAACTATTTTTGGAGTTAAAATTTTATAATGGGTGTGGTTTGTATAGAGTCGAGGCTCTAAACAATCAAATTTGAGCCCACCTTGAAAATTGATGGTAAAAAAATGCGATACAAGATGCACTATTTCCAAAACTTGACAATCATTTTTTTTCTCATATCCATGCATCTTGATGTCGAGATGATCAATTTGATATTATTTGGGTATCAAAACAACCTCATCTAGTGAAATTTTTGAGGTAGGCTCTAATTTGATTGTTCAGAGCCTAGGCTCTATATAAACTTTTCCCCTTTATAATTAGATGTAAAAATAGAGAATTTTTTATCCCAAAAGTACATGTTATGATAGAATGTGGAAGCTTAATTGGATTGTTTAAGGTTGCAACTTTATAGAAACCACACCCTATAATTAATGGTCCTAATAATATAAGGGAAAGAATGTATTTTGAGAAACTTACACGCATATCCTCGTAAAATCCAGATTTAAAAAAAGGGTGAGGTTTGTACAAGGTTTAAAGGAAAAAGTTTATATAAGGAAAAGGGCTTGAACAATCAAATTAAGTTGCCCCTTTTATATTCATTGTTTCGATGTTGAAAAAACTTCAATTAGATCATCACAAGCTCAACATTTATGTACATGAGAAAAAATAGATTTCAAGTCTTGGAAATAGAGCATCTTATAATATATTATTTAGACCGCCAATTTTTTTGAAAATAATCAATTCTTAAGTTGTTCCCAAATTTTCAAATTGAAAAATTCCTCCCCTAACCTTTTGTGCTCTCGCGAGAGTATAGTATATGTGCCCATATATGCTAGGATTTAAAAGAGTAACACATTTTCCTCCTCAACCGATCCATTTGTACAGCAAACCAGTGTTTCAAAACCCGATGATTTCTAATCCGGATTGTCAATCCGGATACAAAATCAATTGGGACTAAATCAGTTCCATAATGGTATGGCTGCTGGGCCAGTTCCCCTGAATCATCTTTTCCTCTTCTTCTTTTTTATTTTTGTTTGAAGCTTATCTAATGTTTTATGTGGTCCTCCAATTCCCACCCATGAACCTCTATTTTAATTTTTTTATTTATTTTATCTTAAGATTTTATTTTTAGATCACTTATCCAAACAATTCGAAAACCATCAAAATCGCCAATCCAGCCTATCCGAACTAGGATTGGGGTGGACGATCCGCCCCACATATCCGTTATTTTAAACATTGCAACAACTTAAACTTCGAAAGATTTGCCTCGTCTCAAAATTTTGGGAAGCACTTTAGATTCGCCATAGGAATAATTAAAAAAAGCATAAATTATTTAATTCATGAACAATGAATCTCGTCCATTCAAAAAAATGGATGTTTGTCTTTTGCTATTATGGTGTCTTTTTTTCAGCCATTTCTAGGGTGTGAATTCAAGTTTCTGTTTCTTTTTATGTTGAGATGAGCGAGTCACATTGTATACATTCCATTAAATATAGGGTTAAATATACATTTTGATCCCGGAAAAGAGGAAACCAATTTTCTTTGCCCAAGTCGGAAACTATTTTCACCTCCTCAACAAATAAAGGACGTGTATGGATGGATTACTTAACTCCAAGCAGTGGCAATAATTCATTTGAAATGGGAAAAATAAAGGGTTTGCACTGCTTCCACTATTTTAAAATACACTGCTTTCACCTCCCCCCCAACCATAGAATTCCTCACTAATTTTAAGAGTCCAAAATCTTTTTTTCCTTCATCAAATTTCACTTGTGAAATTGGAATGAAAATCAAGGATTAAGTCAGAAGACTCAGATTATGAGTTGGACTAACTTTTCTTACATCTCTCTGTTCCTGGGTTGCTTTTCTTTATGTTTCCAGCAAAATCATAGATGAAGAAATTGCAAAACTTAGGCCTAAAAAGAACAAAGAGGTTGAGTATCTAGGAACAAGGGTTGCATGACACCAGAGTATATATCAGAGGAAACATAGGTCAAAAATCTATCCCATGAAGATCGATCTTCTGAAGAGGTTTTAAGTTTTAGAGATGGAAACAGAGATCGATAGAGAGGATGTTTAAATAGAGGGGGCTGGGGGTGGGTTGTTTAATAGAGCAGAGGTTAGCGAGACACAGAAGCAGGCTAATTTTGAGAGGTAGAGACTGATAGAGAGGATGTTCACAGAGTGGGGTTGGATGGAGGAGGTTAGAGAGAAACAGAGAGTGAGGTTATTGAGAGGGCAAGCTAAATAGAGACTAAAGAGGGGAACCTGGGCTTCCAGTGTCTGATCTGCACCATCCAATTATACAGTCAGCACATATATCATGGACCGACGCACTATAACAAGTCTCTTCCATAATGGAATAACACCCTATCTTTCCTTTTCATCTCATCTCTCAACAGGAACATTGATATAACACATTAGTCGAAAGATTCTAGTATTTCGGAGACTCTCCCCAAGGTAAAAACCCTATTGAAGATCATTCTTGGGATTTCAAAATTTTGGGATATAATCTCTTCAATCAAGCAACCAATTCCAAAAAAAAAAGTCATGCTCACCCTATAAGTGCATAGAATAAATAAATAACACCCTCATATTGAATAGAGAATGTCCAAGTTTCCGACAATCAAACCGAAGCATATAGGAAATTGAAATCCCAATTTTTTCTGTTTGGGAATACGCATCTAGTGATGAGCATTCCAAAATTCCACATAAAAAATATTCTCCTGAGCAGGTCTTTCACCCAGTGGAGTATATACACAGCACGCTCCCACAAGGGAGCGGAACGGGTGCTCAAGACATTATACAAGAATTCATCAACTCTCCAAATACCTAGGCCATTGGTTAGACGTGCGCACTCGTCTAATTCAGACTTCTGTTGCAAGTCTCTGTTCTCTTTAGGTATCCTCCCCTTCCATTATCGTCAACAATGAGTACTTAACCCGCATCGATATCCTCCCCCCCTCGACACACAATTTAGCACCACTCACCACCCAATATCCCGGCAAGCTCTCCGGCCCCCTCACCATCTCTGAAACGTCCACAAACTTCAAAACCCCCGAGGTCTGCATTGGGCCTCGTGGTGCCCTCGGGAACACAGCCGAGTTCAATTCCACCTTCTCAACCCTCTCAGAGGGACCCAGGCGCCCCAGACCCAACATTGACGAAAGAGCCCCTGATCTCTGAGGGGGACCCATTGAGGTCCCTTCCCATTCTGACCGTCGGATCTTAGCAGAACCCACAACAGAGAAGCCCAATCTCAAGAATAGAGCCCTCTTTGGGCTCACCTCTAATCGTGCACTCGTGACTATGGGAGCCGAATTATCATCGATGAGGCCACCTTGATGTTGTACGGGGGCAGTGTATATGTGAGAAAAGCAGGTGGATTTGAGGGGTTCAAAGTAATTGGGCTTGGGCGGGGCAGGTTCGCGGGCCTGCTCATCAAAGACTTGGAGGATTTTGGGGAGAGAGGAGAGATGTTGGAGGTGGATTGCAAGTTGATTGCCCTTCCTTCCTTCGAGGTAGAGGCGGATGCCAGTGACCGGGAATTTTCCTACATCGACCTGTGAATGGAACAAGATTTGTGTGGAGGAGAGAGAGATCAGTCTGTGAAAAATGACACCGAACAGTTTTGTTATTTCACCTGCATTTGTTCATATGACTTGTGCATGTGTGTAGAGAGGAAGAGAGAACTTCTGAAAGTGCTTAGCAAGGGCGCACAAGAAATCACACAGGGTAAAACAGCCAATGCACTAGAGTATAACAGAGACCTCCCACTATGTTCTCCCTTGATCTTTTGTGGCATAATTATTACAGTGGAGGGTTACAGGACCATTTCACCATTACCAATTTCAGGCTCATGGTTTCCATTTCTCTATAGAACATGTAACACAATCTATTAAAGAAACAGATTTCTGCAAATACCTTACAACTCCATTACAAATTAAACTGATGAAGAAACCTATTCACAAGCAAATGAGCATGAGGTACTCACATTCATGGTATTGACAAAAAGCTTGGGACCCATAAAGGAGAACTGGAGATGTGGCAATCCGGTCTGCCTGCACTGAGGCCCAAGAGGGAGCTCTCCAAATGTTGGAGCCCATTGTCGTGGTACCTGGAACTCCAAGAAATAACGGAGTTCTTCAATGGGCGGTTTATCTGAATTCATTGTTGGATCAGCAATTTCATCAACAGCGTACTTGAAATTTCATCAACATATGAATAATGCACTTGAAATTCCTCCTAACACCTGATACTACTGATTAATACAAAGAAAGATGCATGTATGTGTGCTTGTTTGATCCTTACTTAGCAATTTTCGAGAGGGAAAGCACAATGTATTCCAGTGGACAATGAAATATCATAACCAAATTGGGTCATCATTATCCAATGAAATGATGGATGTTACTCGGAGTGGGACCACTACTGATGTCATGTACAGTTCTGGTGGTCACACTCTTTCTCCATTACCATCTATGGATTTATCAGATGATGATGGCTCCAATGGGACTATTTGTTTTTTTCCATTTTTATTTCCAGTTCATTTGGACGAATGCCATGCTATTTCCTCATAACCATTCCGTATTTCTCTATACGGGCACGTTTGATAACAGAGAGCTTTTGTAAGTGGGAGTGGAACATCCCACTTCCACATTTGATAGCAAGGAGGTTTGGAAGGGTGGCATTCTACGACCTTCAACACGCCTCTTTTTTAATGTTAAAACAAGCCCATTTTTTGGAAGGCTGTCCTTCCATCAAAAATGATGAAAGCAAGGCCTTCCATAATAAATGGGAGACTCCCTTCCTCGCACATAATTTGCACGTGTCCAACGCGCCCTAAAAAATAATGGAACTGATGAAATATATGATACAATCTCAACTTTAATAGAAAAGCTAGCCTCAACTGAATGTGTATATATATATATATATATGTGTGTGTGTGTGTGTGTGTGTGTGTGTGTGCACGCGCGCTATTTGTGTGTATGTATGTTTGTCCACATATACATACACATAGGAAAACACTTGCAAACACTCATGAGGGAATTTTTACAGTATTTCGCTCATAGCTCGTCACTATCCAAAATCCATCATTCGTTGCCTAATAGCATTTGAATTTTAATAATTTTTTGTAAATCAGATTCATCTAAAATTTGGAGCGTGAATACAACTAACCAATTTTCACCCAAATAAAAATATTTGATAATAAATAATTCTCAAAAAATAAAATTACAAAAATACTTCTAAAATATTCATTGGGGTAATTTGGCCATTTTTATTAATTAGATTATTTTTTATATTTTATTTAGGTGCACCTTACTAAGGCACACATCCACAAAATTTCAAGTTAATCTGATTTGTTGAAAAATTATTAAAATTCAAACACTTTCAGACAATCGTGACCGTTTGATAATGATGAGTAAAGAGCGAATGCCATAGATATTTGCTCATGAGTGTTTTAAAGTGTTTTCTCCTGAGATTATCTACACTAACAGGGACAAAGCCAAATACCGCATAAAATACCATTTAAGCTCTGTATTTGTACTCACAACGAAGGTACAAGTTTACTGCATGAGTGAGAAATCCACTGCCTGAGATACCATGCAAGAGAGAAGCTATTGGCACCAATGACATTGATATCACATCAGGTGCTTGTGAAATTGTGCCTAACCATTGGGTATGACCTTGACCTATATCAATTCCTCCCCTTCTAATGGAAATGCTTACAATTTCCTGCAACAAAATAATAGAAGGTACAATCTGTTATTTCCTTTGAATGAAGACCAATTTCCAAACCATAATATTTGTCAAACCCAACCAAAAATGGTAAAAGAAAATACCTCTTTCTTAGAATGAGACACAACTTTGTTTTTAGAGTTTGAGAACATTAAGTGAGACTCCAGATTTCCTAGTAGAGACTCCTGGAAATGAGAACAAACCAACTGAAGATAAGTTATACATATATTAAGAGAGAGAGAGAGAGAGAGAGAGAGAGAGAGAGAGATGACAGTATGTAATGTTGACACCCACAGTTCATCATCCAAAATTACAGGCACCCAAAGACATGAGGGAATATAACATGAATAGACAAGTTGACCTCATGTTATCGTGAGGGGGAAAAAAATTGCAAAAGATGCTACAGAACTGCACGCCCTCAAACAAGCACAATATCTTTCAGAAAAGCACATATATGCTGGAAGTATCAGTTAAAATCTCAGTTTCTTTTTGGAAAAAGAAAAGATCATCTATATTTGTTAGAAGACACTTCCTTTCCATCTGCGGATGTTGATAAGGGTATAGATGGCTAGAAATGGGAGAAAATTGTGCCTTACACTGAAAAACAGTCCATATAATGTAATCACAAAAAGGACCAAAGCCTCATAGCCTTTGTCCAACAGAAATCCAGGTAGCTTTGTCTGATGGTTGTAGCTGGCTGCATAGATTTAATTCGCCCAGCTAAACTAGCACCTTTTAGAGCATACTTTATGGTAGTCTGCTTGGATATTTTTATTCATTAAAGATTATTACTTTTAACACTCACTAGAAAAAATCATTAGTTTTGACATCTACACACCTTCTGCCTTGATATCTTATCAGAATCAGGGATGACATCAGAAAATCTTGCATCAGCTAATTTCTTCAGTATTTTCTGCACTTCGGTTGACTTGAGAGAAGAGTTGTGCTGCTGTTTGATACTAACAACATCCTTGCCTCCCATTTTTACACCCACAACAACATGAGTACCATAATTCTCAATAAACCTGAAAAAAAAAAAATCCCATACCATTTAGGGCAAGCTAAGTACACGTTCAAAACCAACAAGAGACACAAGGGCTGAACCCTCTCTGAAACCCACCATTCACTCCACAATTTTCAATGGCACAGAGAATTCCTATGTAACAGTACAGGACGTGTAATGCAAAACAATGATTAAGGAAACAAGAACAGTGAGTGTTCCTCAATTGAATATAAAAAATTTAACCAGATTTTTATTTCTTCAAAAAAATAGCCATTACAAGAAAAGCCAATGTCTGGAAATTTGATTGAAACAAGGAAAACTGGTGATGCAGGTGGATACATGATATAAAGCCCTCATTCAGTACATTACCTTTTCCGCCATGAGCACCTCAGTAATTGTGCTTAACCAAAATACAGAGGTTCGCTTTTACAAGTAATAAAAATGTCAATTTAATATACAGTGCAGAGCACATTGAATCCCCCCAGTCCTGACAGACACGTCTAGACTGCAGACTGACTACTCTCAATAGTTTCTAGCATTTTTAGGTATAACTTTCTTTGGAGTCTCTTTTATCATTATTTTTCCTCTTTCTTATATACCAAGAAATTGAAATAAAACTCTAGTTTTCCATAAAACTAGCTCATACACCATAGTCTTTGTATTCTTTAACTGCAACTAAATCAACAAAGAATCCTATCAAACATGCATCTTTTTCTATGATAGCTTCCATGGGTTCAACTAAGATATCTCAACATTTTGTATCCCTTAAGGTTATAAATACAAAATTATGTATTCAACAAATAACAAATCCTACTACATTGTCTTAGTAGAAAATCAGAGTGAAGACACTAAGCTCCTAAATATCCTCGCAAACTTATCAAGCAGAATACTAAGATGTCTATGAAACAAGGAGTCAAGGACAATGATATAAGAATATATGTCTGAGTCGGAGTCGATGAATCTCACTCGCTTATATAGTTATATTTTTCCAATTTGTTGGAACACATCAATACAAGTCTGTACAATGCATAAGTGAGTATACAATTATAGATAAAAATAAAGGAAAATATCAATTTAAACCCCCCTAGAAAATCAGATTTTCATTTGTTTCACATGGCATAGGTAGTTATAAAAGAATTTCAGCCCACCCCTTCCATAGAAACCTAAACTATTTCCTTTATTTCTCCATAAATAACCCCTTTGTAGTGATAAATCCATCTATCCATTTTCAATGTTAAAAGGCCCACCAATTTCTCTCTCACACACAGGCTAACACTTCCCTTCTCCCCATTAAAACCCATGATAAAATCTCCCTTCCCTCCCTCCCTCTAAATTCTCTCTCTCATACTGTAAAACCCTCCCCTTCTTCTTCAAGACAAGATCTTACTCTCTTTCTCCCACATACTGCCATCCCAATAGTGTTTTGAGAGCGAAACCTAGTAAAGAATTATACAAGCCCCTTCTCAGTTGTAGAAACTTGATGGATTTATGCGAAAAAGAATAAAGAGGTTTGGACAGAGAAAATATATTGCAGTGTGAGAGCATGACAGCGAGAACGAGAGAAAAGGATGGCTTCAAAAAGAATGAATGAGAGGACGAGAGAAAGTTTCAACTGGTTAGGTCTTTGATCTTAGTTGGACTTCACATATTCAAAAGGGTATGTTTTGGGAGTAAAATATCAAGAAAGGGATCATGTTCTACAGAAGGGCGCAGTGTTTTAAAATGCGGCCGCATCATGTGGGATGCGCTCGCATCTGCATCGCAAACTGGCGCATATGCGCTTTTGACAGATGCGGCCGCATATGCGCCGCATCAAGCCGCATCATGGCCGCATCCCACATCATGGCCACATCGCCCGCATCTGTTTTCCACGGAAAAAATTATCGATGAGGGGCAAAATGGTCTTTTTGAACTTCCAAAGTTTAGGGAAACTGTTTGAGGGGTTATTATACCCCCTAAACGAAGATTTCCAACCACTTTGGTGGCTTTTTTTGCATCAAATCGAGGGGAAAAACAAATTTGGCGGAAATTTTCTTTTCATCCAAATCTTTGATTTGGTAGTTGTTTGATACTTGGATGTTTATTTGATGCCTTTGATTGTTGATTGGGGGATGTTAAGGTGAATTTGTGATAAGAAATTGGGGGTTTCAGAGGCCGTGAAGAAATCGAGCAATAGTTTACAGAGTCGATAACTTTTATTCCTTCTTGTACAATAATACTGTTATACTTATTTTTGGGGCAATGTCTTCTTCTCAATCTTCTAATAACAAGGATCCAGCTTGGAAATATGCTAAACTAAAAAATCCGAAAGATATAAATTGTGTGATATGCTTGATCTGTGGAAATACTTATATGGGTGGTATTTTTTGACAAAAAGAGCATTTAGCAAGAATTTCTGGGAATGTAAGAGCATGCCCACAAGCTACAGATGATATAAAAAAGGAGATTAGAGAATATTTGGATAGATTGAAAAAAGATAATGAGAAAAAAAAAAGAATTACGTGATGATATGCAATTATTTTATGATGTTGATGATGATCATGATGATATGTCTGAAGTTGCTATGAGGCAAAGAGGTACTCATACTCCAACTTCAAGAGAGAGGGTTATAAATATTGGTGGTAGTATTGAGAGAAGAACACCTCTCTCTAAGGGGCCAATGGATTATTTTTTCACCCCTAGCCCCGAAATTGTGGTTCAGGCAAGAAAGAAAAAAACAAAACAAACCATAATTGAAAATAAATATAAGAAAGAACAAAGGAAGTCAGTATGTAAGTGGATTGCAAAGTTTATTTACATGGCCGGCATTCCTTTTAATACTATAACTCTGGATAGTTTTGCATGCATGGTCCAAGCAATTGGGCAATGTGGCCCAAGACTTATTCCTCCTTCACTACATGAGGTTAGGGAGCCCTTGTTGAAGGATGACGTATTTGATGTGAATAAAATTTTGATTTCTCAGAGAGAAGGGTGCCAGAAATATGTGGCCACTATTATGTGTGATGGTTGGTCCGATGGGAAATCAAGGGCATTCATTAATTTTTTGGTTAACTGCCCAACAGGTACGTTTTTTGTTAAGTCTATTGATGCATCAGACAAGTCACATGATGGTACATACTTATGTGGCTTGCTGGATGAGATTGTCGATTTTGTTGGGGAGCAAAATGTGGTACAAATTATCACTGACAATGGTGCCAACTATGCTGCAGCTGAGCATATCTTGACTTTGAAAATGAAGCATATGTTTTGGACTCCTTGCGCAGCTCACTGTGTTAATCTTATGCTTAAGGAAATGGTACAACATCTTTATTTAGTGGGGTGACTTCAAGAGCTATGCTTGTTGTTGGATTTATTTACAATCAAACCATAGTCCTAAGCATGATGAGGTCTTTTACAAAAAAGAGAGAATTAGTGAGACCGGGTATCACTAGATTTGCCTTGTCATTTCTCACTCTTCGAAACCTAGCCAAGCAAAAAAGTGCCTTGAGGACCATGTTTGCTTCAGAGCAATGGAGTCAAATCAAATGGTCAAAGCATAAGGATGGGAGAAAGGCTGAAAAAATTATTCTGAATACATCTTTTTGGAGTCAAATAATTCTTGCATTGGAGGTGGCTCGCCCTTTAGTGAGAGTGCTTCGACTGGTTGATGGTGATTCGAAGCCCACCATGGGCTACATACATGAGACAATGACTAGGACAAGAACTGAAATAAAAGATGTTTTAAAGGATGATGAAAATATGCGCAAAGCTATACTTGAAATTATTGATAGGATATGGGATACCCAGCTTCACAGGCCCCTCCATTCAGCCGGTTACTTTCTAAACCCATCTCTTCACTACAAGCACCCATCCATTGAGTCAGATCATGTAATAAATGGTGGATTCTTAAATGTGCTGGAGAGGTTGGTGTCAGACAAAGATATCCAGGATGAGATCCAGAGCCATGAATTGATTAAGTTCAAGTTAGCCTTGAGAAACTTTGGGAGAGATATTGCCACTCGAAATAAGGACACTACAGATCCAGGTAAAGGCCAAAAGCCCAAAAATAATCTTACTTGTCTCTTATTTATGTATAGTTCCATTATTTATTTTCTACCCTTAATTTTTAACTATATTCTAAATTATAAAATATTATACAGCTGCATGGTGGGCATTATATGGAAGCGAGACACCAGATCTAGAACATCTCGCTATTCGAGTGTTGAATCTCACATGGTGAGCGCAATTGGAGTGCACTTGAGCATGTAAGTCCTTTACTCCTTATTCCTTAATCCTTATTTCTTGAATTTCAATTTCTAATCTAAAATCTAATTTATCTGATTTCAAATTTCTACCACAACTCCATACAAAAAAAAGAACTAGGTGGGTGCAGAAAAAGTAGAATGATATGGTTTATGTGCGGTATAACGAGCGGCTTAGGGAGAGGTATGAAAATCGCACGAAGCTCAACCCTATTCAATTATATGAAGTTGATGGTGATTCCATAAGTGAGTGGACCATGGATCCAAGACAAGAGCATGTGTTTGAGGGTGAGGATATTACATGGCTTGATGTCGAGCTAGCAACAGGGGCTAATGAAGACGATCAACCTAACACTAAAGCACAAAGGAGTAGAGGAGTTGCTGGGTCTAGTCGAACTCGCACATTAGCTTTAAAGGTCGAGGAGGAGGAAGCTGACTCAAAGGAGACCGATGAAGAAGAATACATGGAGGCCGTCGAGAATGATAATGATGATGCGCATGACGACTCTCAAGATGACTTGTTTTAT